TCAGCACTACAGAGAGAAGTTTTTAAAGGCTCCTAAAATGGACCCTGAAATAATTGCAAAACGATGTCCACCTTCTCCAAGGCCCATTGTTATACCCCAAAAATAGATGACCCTCTTTCTGTTCCAAGAAAGGTTCTACAGAGTTTTACAGGAAGTTTTCACTAAGCTGAAAAAGGTTTAATGGGACGACTGAACTTTCCCAAATCCACAGCTGGAAAAATAAGAACCTAGTCTCCAAGGTTAATTCTTTATGTGTCTATGATACGGGGTGAGAACAAAGTGGCTGATATGATAATTTAACTGCCCTATAACTGCAACATCAAAGAAAGTTACACAAGGTCACACAGAAGTAAAAAATCAGTTGTTACATCAAGAGTGAGGTTATGAGGTGGTCTACTAGTTTAATCATCAAACTTTCATTAGTTGGACATTTTGATTTCATCAGGAAACATGTTGTGAATATACCTATACTGGTTGTATTTTAAACAATTGTTAATTAAATATCTTTAGTGATGAAGGGAAAGTTATTGAAGGAAGTTCTGAGAGGCCATAATATGGCTAAAGATGACAGGGAAAAAGGGATTGTCAATCCAACAAATCAGAAATGAGACTTATTTCTGATTCCCAAAATCAATCCAGGACAGTATGTAGTTAAGTGTTAATGAAATCACTTTTCAAAGGAATATTTTATAGGTTATCTCTTTTAAAACAAGGTCAATTAATACCCTATGAGAGTCATTAAATGGGACACCCTTCTTGACCCTGTTGCAAGCTCTGGCTGCTCTGGGTACAGGTTAAGCCCTCAGGAAATCTCTGGGATCTGAGTTGGACCACCCAGTGCCTGAGCTTATCCTGGTGCCCTTGTGATTACCCACCAGATCTTCCTCTGGGAGAAGCGAGTCCATGTTCATCTTGTCTACCCAATACTTCCCAACAATCAGTCATGAGTGCCCCTGTGGTGTATGAATTTAGGAGGCTGCAGTGATATTTTAGGGGAGACACTATTAGAATATTGGTTGCGTACAGTGACTGCTCCCTGTGATCACAAGCAGCCTGCGTCAGCCACTTCCACGCTCTCACCAGCTCTGGCCTTGTAAGGCAAACAAAGAAAGATGTGAATAGTATGGGAGCAAACTAATATCCCTAATACCACTAAAGGTGCCAAGTGTCGGGTGGTGGTACATACACTAAGCGTATTTCTTAGCCAAAGTTCTGAGGATCCTGAGGAATCCACTTAAGGGTACCTGCTGATCTTTCCTTTCTCATATTTAGAGTCTTTTCTTCTTTGGGGAAGATTCTCAAAAAAAGATCTGCTCTTTTTTTTCCTCCTTCTGAAATTTAGCAAAGTGTTTTATCAAGTAACTGACGGACCCACAGAAAGATCTACTCTAGCACTTCCTGGCTTGCTGATCCGGTGAGCTAAAAGTATGTCCCACACTGAGATGGCCCATTGTGGGGACCATTTACTCCCTTTCACAGCTGATTTTCTGCCTAATGGCTTAATTATCCTTTAAGTTCTTACCCAATGTAAAGAAACTAACAATTTTTAATAAGAACCCCATTACCTGATACTTAAAACATTATTTTTAAAACATTTGATAACGAATGAGATAGAAAAGTTATTTGAAGACAGATTTAAGAGAACCTGAGTGCAAGCGACTGGCTGCCTCCTGCCTCTGTCTTTGCAGGGTGATCCTCGCCACAAATTCAGCTTACCTGTGCTGAAGGCCACCTCGCTTGTGTTCAGTAACCGGGTAACAAAGGCTGGGGGCAAAGTGTGGGCTCCAAACACCACGCCAGTGCCTCCCAACTGTGGCCCCACCCACAACAGAAGGGACTGTGACTTCAGCCCTGCCAGAGGACTAGCTTACCAAGAGCAATGGGCCAAACAGCAGCCAGATGGTGTTACTGAAAAGGTTACAATTTTGTTTAGTTCCTTAAAGAACTGGCCTTGACTCTCAGGTAGGTTAGCAGGAACTACCTCGGTAATTGGGTCTTGGTAGCTATCCCACCCTATTCTCCCAGAAGACAAAATTTGAAAGTTACTTCTGTCTGGAGGTGACTTAGAGAGGTCATTTGGAGAAAGGGGGAAACACAGAGTAGATTTTCAGTGATTTTTATGAGATATAATTTTTTTAAATGAATTTATGCATAAACATTTAAAGATGATTGTAAGGAAAGACATCTTGCCATCAATCCCTCTTAAAATGGTCATTTTGGGCACACTTATCTCACAGGTCTTGCCACTTTCTGAGGCAGTTCTAGGATGTCTTTAGCGATGGTGTCGTGGCTGCGTTGATGTCCTGAATTGATTCAAAATGTTGACTCTTCATGATCACTTTGACTTTGGGGGAGAACCAGATGTTACACAGTGCTGTGTTTGTGACTAGGGTGGATAAGGACACATTGTGATGTTTTCGTGAGCCTGCCTTTCAGTTGAATGGCACTGGCAGCCATATTTACCACATTTTTGATCATATCTCATGAAGATTTGAAATGGAACTTTTGACCTGCTTCAGAAAGTGGTAACAATGAGGGGCTAAGCAAGGGGAAGTATTCTGAGAGGATTAGCAGCAATATTCCTTTTACTGTAATAATTTTTTAAAATTTAAACATTCACTGTATTTGGTATCATTCCATGTATAAAACTCTATGCTGGGAGCTATCAGCGAAGCAGAGCTCTGATGCCTGGCCTTCTGAAAAGCAAGAGAGTCTATAAACACACCTAGTGCTCAAATTCCCAAATTCAGTAAGGAATAGGGAGAGATAAGAAGGAAATAAAACTTTATGAGATTCCAGAAAGCTAAATTCCACTTCCTTAGAGGGGAACTTTGGCCCAAAGCACTCCCATTCTGAGTGGAAGACTTATACAAGTTCCTTACAGTTTTCAGCTAGCTAACTGCACTCAATTGAATGCACATTTTAACCTCCCAGTTTCCCTTCTGTCTTAAACCCTGAACAAGTCAGAAAGATATTGAAAGAGGATCACAATAGTTAGTCAATGAATGGGAGCGCTTTCTGAGACCTCCGAACATAGAATCGGGAATATGAATGTAGGGCTTGTCAGAGGTCAGGAAAGACCCTAGTCATTTCCATTGTGAAAATACAATATATTAAAAAATGAAATGAAATATACATATGCATGTGTATGTACATATAGGCAATTTTTAACACAAAGGTATTAACAGAATAGAGACTTTCTGAGCCCTTGACCAAATACATTGCCATACTCACAAGCTATCCCTAAAAGGTCCTAAGGACTATTATAAGAATTAAGATGTGTTATATATGAACTGTAATCATTACACACTGCAAACATGTACTAATAAAAATAATTTTTTAAAAAAAAGTTCCTAAAGACTGTCTTGAGTACTAACGTAAGAGAACCTTGAGCACACCAGCTTTGTCAGGGTTGGTATCTATTGTAATGCCTCTTCATGGCTGAGGATATAGCTCAGTGGTAGAGCATATGCCTCGAATGCCTCTCTACAACATTTCAGAAACACAGAGGATTGTCTCCAAGGAGATTATTAACTTTTAAAGTGTGATTACAGGCTTCCAAGTGAGTATGGATCTCATATCATTTCCACAGCAGTTTTGTGGAAGCAATGTGATCCAACATCACACCATGTTACAAAAAAGATGGAGTTCAATTATTTTACACTCACAGAATCTTAGGTCACAAAAAGAAGACAAGTGGAGCCTTCTGCAAAACTCTAGATGTAGCCATGATTCTTATTCTTAAACATGGTTATCCTTAAACTATGTTTAATAATTTCTTCTGATAGCATTTCTTAACTATGAAATTCTTCCTAGTGACGTATCTTTACCTCTCCTATTGAAAACTGACTCTTCCTTTGACCTCAGAGGAAGACTCACCCTGCCACACATAGGCCCCAGCTACCCTTTTGCACACTGACAAATGTTATCTACGCACATCTTCATATCTGATCTACAGAACCAGTGCCTAAACTAAACTTTCATCAGATGTTCACAGAATCGAAATCCTCACTCTTTTTCTCCTTGTTATTGAGATCAGTGCAGACAACCAGCAGAGACACCTGTGTACTTGAACTCACAGAATCTTACAGTCTATCTTAACAACACATACCCTACAATAGTGCTTGGGATGCTAAATTGACAAGAAGAGATGTAAACATGACCTTCCCACTTTGGTAGGGAAGATTAATTCCCCACGGTCCCAGTTTTGTCCATACAGGGACCAGCACCTCTTCATGGTGTCTAAACAAGATCAACAGAGTCCCTGTTTCTAATGCGTTTGTTGCTGCTGAGTCATGTCTGCCCGTCTGGTCTTAAGATCTCATTTGCAACAAAAGGTGAGTTTGTCCTTTTGTGATAGGATACATTTGTCTAAATTGATTTTTTTTTTCTAGACAGAGTTCATTCTTAAGTGTGTAACTCTCTCCAGTACCCCTTTGTATCTTGGGTGCCTGGCTAGTTTTTTTCTGTGTAGAAGTGATTCCTCTTGCTTTTTTATCAGCCATTTTCCAACACTGGGACATACTAAAGATGAATCGGCCTTTCCCTGTAGCTCATGAGTCAGAAAAATTATCAGCAGAAGACATCTCTAGAAAGTAAGATACTGTGCTCTGAGCCTCCAGAGCTCAGAGCCAGCTAGCTCTGTGCTCAGCTACATCAGCGTCACCTAGCCCTATCTGCCTGTTTGCTTCCAAAGGATTCAACCCAGAAACGTGGCTTTGCTAACACAGGTAGAGACAAACCAAGGGTTTTAAATCCACAGTCATTAGAGGTCCAGAGAGGGCAGGAAATTCTCAGATAGTGTCCAAGGAGCTCAGCTGGCCCCTAAAAGAAAACTCTAACAAGAGACAGTGAGGTAAGCCCAGGGAAGCAAGCTACCTCCCGCCAGCTACCTCCAGGAGGCCCTTCTCTTTTCATCTGTCTGGTTCAAGGCAGACTTCTCTTTCCATGCAGGTGTTTGAGTTTCAGATTCAAAAGAAGATTTAAAAATAAGGACTTACCTCATTTGCCTAAAGATTCTGGGTGGGAAATCCAATAGCTCTGGCTAATGAAAAGGAGGCAGCCAGCAGCTGTCACGCCAGCTCCTACCAGGATGGGGAACCACAGGTGTTATCACGTCTGAGCTCTCATCAGAGTGAAGATAAACGCATATGACAATAATTTAAAATCATTTTGTAGGATATTAAGCAATAAGCCACCAACCGGGAATTCCCTAAGTCACTTCCCCCCTCTTGTGATTGGCTGCCCAGCCCTTTAAAAAAATAAAATAAAGGATTACAAACATTGGCTCATTTGCATTTGGCCAACTCACACGTTAGTGTTCAAACAAAACAGGTCTAACCAGGTTATGCCTGTGTCTCAAGTACAGAGAGACAACCTGTTAATAGATGAGGAATTGATTTGGTGGTGACTGTTCTTTTCAGCTTAGAGGCAGTTTCGGGTGAAAAGCGTCGTGCTTCCCAAAGACACTATCAGGAAGGGAGAGTATAAAAGCAGAGTGAACAGAAATCCAAATCTGACAGACATGGTGGTGGAGGGGGTGGGAGGAGTACTCCTGAACATCTGTTGCATTTTCTAATCTGCATTTAGTCCATTAGACTTTAGCACCAAGATCTTTACCCTGGCTGTGCAGGTATTATGTTCTGAAGGAGCTTCCAGCCCGTTTTCTTTCCAGACACCATGACTGCCTCCTTGACAGTGAACCTAGGCAATGTCAAAGGACTTTGAAAAGCTATTCTCCCCTCACTCCAGATAGGAGCCTTGGGGAAAAATCTGAAAGAAAAGGCCCCTAGAGGGAATATCCACATGAGCTATCCAGGCCCAGCAATCAACTCCAGCAGTCAACTCTTGGCAATGCAAGGGTGATTTGTTGAATTATCCAGTTTTTTCATTTCCTTTTGACACTTGGATCTTTTTCTTGTTTATCAACACTCCCTATAGGAGCACCAGAGGGAGTGATCAAGATCCTGAAGTTGGGAATAAAACAACAGTTTGGGCAAGAAGGCAGATGGGGAGCGTCTGCAGATTTCAAATACCCACACACCCTCCTGGGGCAAGGGCATGCAGGGAGTTGCCTGATCCTGCTTCACTAGGTCACAAATGTTCCGGCACCTGTACAGGTGAGCAACTGCCCTTGCTAGGAAAAATACCATCCCCTAACCACTAACTTTCTCTCTCAGGTCTTCCCTGACACTGGCCTGGAATGAGTGAAGCATCCAAGAAGACTTCTTGAACTCACCAGACTACTCCCTTTGTGGGAGAGGGGAGGGGAATAGAGGTTTGGCAAAGAGAAACAGAGTTTGTGATCAAAACAAGAAGTTCCTTATATAAAAATGTAAGACTTGCATGTAAACCCAAGTGCCTGGTTAGAACAGAAAGCAATTAGCTATTGTATTATAAGGTAGGATGGGAGTGAGTGGTGGCATGATTTCTCCTGTGCTTACTATGCAACAGGAATGCAGAGATTTTGGAAGTAGAAGGAGGGTGTCAGTGAAGAGCTCAACCTGGTCTTAAAGGAGATCTTGAAGCTTAAGGCAGTACTATTTAGGACAGATCTATAAAGCCCCTTTGCCTCTGTAATCTACACCACACAATCTCACCCCCCTGCTCCTTCTCAGTCTGGTGTACCAGCCAAGGGCCCTCTCAACATGTAAATGTATGCCCTTGGCCTGATAAAAACAGTAAATGTCATTATTGCCCATTATCACATTAGCCCCAATTAGTTTATCAACTTTTGATCTGAGAGCAAGGCCCTGAGGGAACAGCCTGCTGGAATTTTGCTTGAGAGATGGATGAGTCAAGAGCAGCTTGAAGTAGCTATTCCACCCACAACTAGATATTGGCTTGGTGTGTGGAGGGGTGAGGGAATTAGTGCTATTAATGCTCTAAGGTTTGGCCTCATTTAGACCTTTGCTGGAAATTAACCTAAAACAGCAAGGTCTAGTCGGAGACAGGGTCTGTGTGGTCCTGAGGGGGTGAACTTCAAATGCATCTCCTCTAATGATGTGGCTGACTAGCCCAGGCCAAGCCACCTTAAATAGAAGCCCTTTGATTTCTAGCTAAAGAGTTCTGGTGACTTGTCCATTCCTTTATCCATTCAAGACAGAAGGACTGGCTCATTAAAAGGAACTATAGTATGGGGGAGGGGGGACAGAAAATCATCACCTCATCCTCACAAGCCACCTTATCTGAAAAGCTTTTATGTATATAAAGTACCTAACAATGTGTCTGGTACTTAGTGGGTACTTATTAAATATGGAACATTTTATTTGCTTGGAACTTTATTAAACATCCTAAAAGAAAAACAGAAGTAAAAGCAATACCTCCCTTTCCCTGTATTAAAAACAAAGAAAAGCTAGATTTCAAGTATTTAGCATCTGTGGGTAAATTCCTTTGGAGTATGGTCTTTTACTCTGTGATCATTTTCAATAAGACAGACTTTTGCAAACACACAAAGCCTTTGAGTGAGTCCTGATATTGATTTCCACATAGAAAAGTGGGCAAAGCAAATCAGACCAGGTTGTTTGCAGTGGCCTGCAGCTTCCGAGTTCAGATAGGTTGTCTTCTAGAGCAGTGATGCTCAACCCATTTGGCATTAGGGACCAGTTTTGTAGAAAATAATTTTCCATGGTCTGGGGGTAGGGTTAGTTTCTTTTATTAGTATGTATTTTGATATATAATAATTACTACACATGCTCCAGTGCTAACATCACCACCTCAGCTCCACATCAGATTATTAAGCATTAGGTTCACATAGTATGCACAAAATCTAGATCCCTCACACGTGCAGTTCACAGTAGGATTTGATCTTCTATGAGAATAGAAGGCTGCTCTTGACCTGACAGGAGATAAACTTAGGTGGTGAATCCATCTATGTGGAGATACTACAAATGCAGATGAAGTTTTCCTTGCTTACCTACTTTTCATCTCCTGCTGTGCAATGCTGTTCCTAACAGACCTTGGACTGGCACCCATCCCTGGTCCAAGGGTTGGGGAGCACAGTTCTAGAAGATCCATTTCCCAAAACCAAGGAAACTTAGGAATCTTCATTGCCAAATCAAGCTTAAAACAAAGAGTCTCTTAGCCAAGTATCAAAATCCAAGAGGTCTGAGCCTTCACACCAACACAGAAGGTGGTTATAAGGTCAATGGAAGAGTGTGCTTACATTATAAGAAAGAGGATGCTCTTAACACAGCACCTCTTAACCAGAAGCACTATGTTTATTTTTGAAAGCAAACTCATGAATATGTTTCTGTCATCCCCTGCTGATGAAACGGAACTGCTTGCAGGGTAGAATGTGATAGTTACACAAGAATATTCATGCAATTCTGACAGAGGCAAAAGAACTCTTTTCTGGTACTGTAAAACTCATAGGGGAGAAAAAGTCAAACAGCAGAAAATTATGATCAATTACTCTGACTACCACCAAATGAGGAACTAGAGCAGTGATGGCAAACCTTTTAGAGACCAAGTGCACAAACTGCAATCCATATATTTATCACAAAGTGCCAACATTGCCCCTACGTGTACTGTTATCTAATGCTCAGCTTCTGGGGCAATGCCGGAGCAACTTGGCTCATATACCTGCCAAATGAGAGGGCTCTGGGTACCCAGTGTGGCATGTGTGCCATAGGTTCTTTACTACTGATCTAAAGTTTATAAATACCATCTTGCCTTTTACCCTATACCCTCTAAAGACCACATTTGTACTGTCCTCAGATGAGAGTAGGGTCACCTGGAATCTTCCTGTCTTTTGAGAAGCTTCATGGGCTCTGAAAGTGGTACATGAGTTCTTTGTAGGAGGCCTCATGTTGACAGCGAGCAGATTTATGTGGAGCACTTTGGCCATCATATATATATATATATATATATATATATATATATATATATATACATCTACCTGCTCATTAAGCCCATGCCAAAGGCACTTACCACTGAATCCTCAGATGGGGGAGGACCTTAGTGATGCTGAGGGCCTGGGATAGTGGCCACTATTCCTGGAAAAATGACTCGTTGTATAAAAATGCATACATACACATACAATGTTGAATTCTCTGAATTTCTCAATTTTTTCTAGTACTGGGGATTGAACCCAGGGCCTTAAAACAAGGTCTTGATAAGATACCCAGGCTAAGTTCAAACTTGTGGTACTACTGCCTCAGCCTTGAAGAGTGCTAGTTGGTATACACCACCTTACCCATTCTCCCTTCATATTTTAATTATTTCCAGGGCCCCAATTCTACCCTAGTGTAACTTGTCCTTCTCTGTTCTTTTTGCCTCCCCTCTCTATCTTATTATTCACTTTCTGGCTTTATCTTTCCACACACATAACTTCACACGGTAATTTGACTAAATGCCATTTTCACTGCTGGAATAAGCACTTTGCTTCTTGAGTCAAACTATTTTGAATTTCTGTGAAGTATCTTCATCAACTTCTTCAAGTAGGTTCAGTGTAGCAGGGTGGTGGTGCACACTTATGATCTCAGCATTGGAAAGACAGAGGCTGGAGGATCACATATTCAAACTCAGTCCAGGAAACTTACCTAAATCCTGTCCTAAAATAAAAACTTTAAAATGGGCTGTGAGGAAAGCTCAGGGCAGTAAAGCTGGGTTTGATCCCCAGTAATAAAGAAAAATGTCTCCATTCTCAGTGTCAGAGAGGGAGAAAAGAATGGGCAAACTGGTCCTGTCCTGGCAGACTTTGTGGCCAATATCTTCATATTTGTGTGGGAAAGACTTTCTTATAATGATAGCAGTTGTTTTCCCTCCTTTGATATTAGTCTTTCTTTAACTGACAAATTAAAATTGTATATATTTATGGTCTATGACATGATGCTTTGATATGCTTACAGATTGTGAAATAGCTAAACAAAACTAATTAACATATGCATTACCACACATGCTTATCATTTGTAGTGAGAATACTTACAATCTATGCTCAGGAACTTTCAGGTACAAAATCCTTTGTTATTAACTATGATTACCATGTTGTACAAAGTGTAGCAGTTCTCACATTATTTTTTTTTGCCTAAGAACTTTTTTTCACTGTCATGGAACCCCAAAAGATAAAAGAAATCAAAGATTTGCTGCTGTGTGTGAGTTGGAGAAAGGAAAGCTAGAGCTTTGGTAGCTTTTTTTTCCTTCCCCAAGCCCACAGACT